ATAGAAAAATGTTTCACTGGTTCTCAAAACACAACGGTGATAGCTCTGTTATTTTCATTCAAGAAAGTCATAGCACACTAGATGTTGTGGATGAGTGGTCAAAAAGAACAAGAGGTAATTTAATTATGTCACACGGGACTTCAAAAAGTAAAGGAGCAGCAATCTTGATTGGAGAAAAATTAAGCTTTAAAATTATTGAAAAAAGAGTTGATGACAATGGAAGATTTGTAGTATTATTAACGGAAATGCAAGGTGAACATTTTTTATTGATTAATTCCTACTTTCCAAACTTTGAAAAGCAACAAGTCTCGCTTATGAAAGAGATCATAGAAAATATAAATAGTATAGACTATCCCATTGACACATTTATAGTATGGGGCGGCGACTTCAACTTCTATTTCGACATTAATCTTGAAACCTTTGGAGGGCATCCTAAACTTAAAGTTAATTCAATAGAAATGATTGAAAGTATTATGAACGAATTTGATCTGTGTGATATATGGCGAATTCGCAACCAAGATACAAAAAGGTATACATGGAAAGGGCAGATAAAAGAAAATAGTAAGAAAAAAAATATATTTAGAAGGTTAGATTTTTTTCTAGTTTCAAATGAACTCCAGCCTTTCACAGTAAATGCAGATATTATTCCAGCGCCTAACACGGATCATTCCGCCATTACATTAAGATTACAAACTTTTCAAACGGAAAAAAAGGTCCATCATTCTGGAAACTAAATAACTCCTTATTAAACAGAAAAGAGTATGTATATGGTATAAAAGAAAAGTTACAAAGTGTCAAATCACTTTTTGAAGAAGAAGGCATTAATGATCCAAGGATAATTTGGGAATACATTAAATATGAAGTACGTAAATATTCAATAAAGTTTTCAAAAGACCTTGCGAAAAAGCATCGACTAGAGTATCAAGATATAGAGGAAAAAATCAGAATTTTAGAATGCAAAAAGGGTTGGGAAAATAACGAAGATAATTTAATTTTGCACGATCAGCTGAAAACAAAGTTAGAAGAGAGAAGTAACTATATAATGGAAGGTGTAATTATCAAACAATTATCAAACAAGCAACCAAGTACGCAGCAGAATACAACATCAAGTGTATGTTTGATGACACAGGCATTATAATATCTGCAAACAAAGACACAACAGCTGCTGTAGTGGAGACTAAGACGACCACTTCTTCCCCTACAGCACTAAAAGAGCTGCTGAAATTAAAGATCACAGAAAAATACACCAAGGAAGCAGAAGAACAGAGATGGCTTGGAGCTTACACCAGCAAACAGCTTCAAGACAAACAAATGTCACCCACTGTCAACCAAATCCTGAAGAGATGGAAAAATATCCCCGATATCGTTTATAGCGTAAATAAAACCATACGACAACAATTATTACCAACAAAGACGTACCAACAAAGTAAAGCACAGATGGCCATCAAAGATACTAACTGTAGCTACAGAGTCAACAACACACGTTCTAAGCGCCTGCTCAAAGATCGCCCAGACCCTCTACACAGCCAGACACGACAGGATGCTAAGACCGATATATCACTGCTTGCTCAACAAGTACAGATTTCAAGAAAGTGACCATGGAAAACCATAGTACCAACAAAGTCTACCATCTGCAGTGATTGAGAATGAGAAGGCAAAGATATACTGGAACGTGCCCTACTACCTTGAAACGCCACCAGAAAATGGAKCAAATAAACCCGACGTGATTGTCTATGATAAAGAAGACAAYACCTGGACATTACTTGAAGGGACAGTCTGCCAAGTAGATAAAATCTTAGATCGATGAAATGAAAAACAAACAAAATACACAGAATTTCGCGCAGGCATCAAAAGAGAGCATAAAAGTACAGAAGTCAACCAAATTAATATAGTTTTTGACTTTCTTGGAGGACATCACGAACAGCTACGCAAGGATTTGAGATCAATTACGAACACTGACATGGAACTGAATTATCTTTATTGAATGCTGTCAGAAATGGATTTTGAGTCAGAATGTAAATATTGTAAAGAAGTTCTATGAATATGTTAACTGAAAAAGGGAATATGAAAAAGATGTAATTAACTAGCTTAGATCTAAGGTCCGTTGGTTAATGTAATTATGAAACAAAGAAATGTCAATAAAATCTGCCATAATAATAATAAATAGTATTTAGATAGCACAAAATATCTACCAGGTTCTGATGCGCTTTAGAAAATTGAATATAGGAAAATTTAATACTTTTATAAAATTTATGAAAAAAAGATATAAAAGAGATATTAGATGTTTATTTGTAAAAAAGAATTTAAATATATAAACTGTTTAATTATAAATATATACTTTTTTTGCATAATACACTAATATAATAATAATTTTATCATAAAACTACAAAAAATTATTGAAGTGGAAAAGCTTTCTTAAAAAGCCAAGTTTTAATTTCTTAATCTTGTTTAAAAATACGCATTGATTTTTCTGCAAGGACATTCTCAGGAATAGAGTTCCATAACTCAGGAGCAGTAAGAAAAAGATCTTCTACCATAAAATTTAAGGTTTAAAGATGGTTTAAACAACAAGTTAGCTGATGAAGATCTTTAAGAACGCGAGGGTTTATAATGCTGAATAAGATTAGAAAGATAAGAAGGAGAATTTCCATTAAGAATCTTAAAGGTAATTAAAAGAATTTAATATTCAATATTATGTCTCTAAACTCTGATTAAAACACAAAAATATGGTCCTCAATTAACAGCTATTATGTCTGAAATGTTAAAATTCACTTCACTGGTTAAACTGAATACTTCCAATACTGATCCACAACCTGACAATCTTACATTTTGTTAGTACAAGTGTGTAAAATATACATGTAAAGATATTTTTGGGGTGAAGGATTTTTATTTGAAGCTATTTTGATATCTATTATGATCAGGATCAGAGCAGAAAGTGACAGTGTTTTTCTCATGATTGTAAGCCGCGTGGCTGCCAATTGCACCTTAAAAAGCGGTCCGTGTGAAATGATCTATACATCAGAAGCGCCTGTGAACCCAGAGGATATCGGCGCTATATAAATACCACATATTATTATATTATTATATTATTCTCAGTCATATTTTTGTAGAGCTTGTGCAGTAAGAGGTACAGGGGAGCTGGATGCGAGATTGGGCGATAACAAAATGAGTAGGGGCCTGGGACTGAATTCTTTTAAAAGTGATATAATCTCACAGAGATCTGTTGTCGATAGATAAAGCGATTTTATTTGTGTCCTCCTCCCCCTCTACGGCCGGCACAGTCTTAAAATGCAAGAAAAAATGTTGTTATACACAAGACAAGATTACTAAGAAGCGATGGTGAAAGAAATACACTTCTTGCTACATGTATATTTCTATTAAAGGTAAATTTTTGACCAAACTTTTTTAAAAGATGGAGAAAGCTCAATTCTATTAATATTTATATACATGTATTGTGGTGTTCTTGTGCCAATCGGCCACAAATAACAGTACTGATTATCAGGACGGAGGCAGTAGATTTTCAGGTTTTTTAACTAAGACTAAATCGAAATTGCTCATTATGAAAACTGTCGTACTTCAGCAAGAATGACCCAATCGGCTCAAGAAAGCAACATGAACAACAAAAAAACATGCGAACAGACGATCTTGTGCCAATCGGCCACAAATAACAGTTCTGATTATCAGGACGGAGGCAGTAGATTTTCAGGTTTTTTAACTAAGACTAAATCGAAATTGCTCATTATGAAAACTGTCGTACTTCAGCAAGAATGACCCAATCGGCTCAAAAAAAGCAACATGAACAACAACAAAAACACGCGAACAGACGATTCTCAATCTACAGAAAAGTTTGGTGTCAAATGATTACCTAAGAATGAAAATACAGCAAATAACTGACAGATATGGCAACAGGATGGACACATGAATGTGATAAAGATGAGTTGGAGTTATGATGACATCACAATACATGACATGGATTTATTTGCAGCAAGTTACACTGTAGGTACACAGCAAATGATTACAACAGTACATGGTTGTACAATATATGGTTATTGTAGATTGTGATGCACTAACCAATCACGCATAGCTTATCTTTTGTGATTAACAACTCTGCGAACAGAGCTACCTTTCTCACCCGCTGAGAAGTGAGAGAAAAATACCTCCAGTCTGCCTATTCCCGATTATTATTCCGTTGAGCATGTGCGAGTGTGATGTAGCATGACGAATGCCGAAGGTCAAGGTGCTAAATTACAAACCAAAGCAGAAAGTTGATATACGAGAGACTTCCCGTGGCCGGGTTGGAAGGTTTACGAATGTATCATTTTGACATAATAGGCAAAATAGAGCGCCCAATTGATGTTTTGATAGTTTTTGTATGTTTACATCTAGTTTCTTCAAGCAAATGCTAACCAAATCTTCGAGTTCTCGAGTAGAGACCTTTACACGCCCTATTGAATTAGCCGGAGAGCACACTAGCAGTAATTTGCAAGGTGATAATGACGTAGACATGAAAACCGGTTGAAAACCAGCTTTTCAATGAATAGCATGTTTACATCCAGAAGTTTAGATGTAGTAATCGGAAGTAGGCAGACATATTTTTCTCTAGCTTCTTGGCGGGTGAGAAAAGAAAATGGAATATGGTCCAATAATGTCCAATAATGAGAAAAGTGTGACATACCTACGAATAGCTGTACAGAGCTAGACAGATCTGATCCACTTATTAATTCTATCTTGCATGTATATTTTCCACTATCAGACAAGGATAAGTTTGTAATAAACAAGGTAGCTTTTCCTTCTTTGTGAATCCTCTGTTTTGGTTTTAAAAACTGTTCAGGACAGTCATTTGAGATAGTCCACTTCCATTTAGGAGTTTCAAATTGGTCTTCAAATGCAATTTTAGATTCCGTTCCATTTTTATCAAAGAACCAAATTGGTGAAGTGGACTTGAATTCTGCATCTCTATTTGTTGTAACATTGTACTCCCAAATCAGTGAGATGTTGTCACCAATCTCTTTACTGATATTACTTTTGGATATCCTGAATAACTGAACCTCACCTACAAAAGAGTGTTAAACAAAAATCACAATCAAGCCGCCAAGATTTTTCAAAGGGGGGTTCCCCTTTGTTTTTGCATTTTCCTAAAACGAACTTTTTTACTGTACCTCTCGAAGTTACTGTGCCTCGTATTAAGAGAAACGTTAGTCAGTCCTCAAGTTATAGTCGAGGAATCATGGACATGTATAGCGACGAAGATGAATGTTTTAGCTTGGTGGGTTTGACGCAGTAAACATTTTCACAGCAAAGTCATATTCCCGATTTTGACTTGCTTCAGAGCATTTTCGAAAGTGAGAATGTAGAGAGTGGTGGCCAAAATAAGGCTACAAATGATTACACTTGACTACGTTAACTGAGCCATGCAAATATTTGTTCATTAGGCCTGAAAAACTTAAAGTTAACGATAGTTAACTTGTTAACTGGTGTTTAAGCATAGCAAAATAACATTTACGACTGCATATATACATGTATATCAATAACTAAGTGGGGGCAAGATCACTTATATATGGGGGCAAAATCACGAGGCGAGATCACTTGGGGGTGAGATCACTGCATACCTATTTGACAACCAAAGAATGCAATTGGCCCAATATTTTGCCTGTAGGTGCGGGGGAGCTCACACTTTAAAAAAAATCTTAAAACAACAATGCTGCACGATTTATATCCAAATTTTCCGTCTTCCTATGATGCATTTCGATCATGCATAGAAGTTTGTTGTACCGGGTCTTCAAAAGAGGGCAGTGAACTTGAAAAATCTGCAGTGGATTTGACAAAATAAAAACGTATGAGGACGTTCTATCAAAGGGGTTTGCAAACCAAGTGGACTTTTTGCTAGGAGAACATATTTTGACGCTACAAATTGGAGATGAAAATCAGTGTTCCCTGTGGTCCTTCAAACGCAGATTTTGGCATTCGTTTCAAAGCAGAGTACTGTTTTGTGTCTTTTTTTTCCTCGTTGCGAAATTCTTTCAACTGCAAGATGGATAATATCTACTAGTAAGTTGGTACAAGCAATTTTAGGGCTATAGCTTACTATTTCAGCAACTTAGATTTTTGACCCATAGGTCAAATTTGACCTAAATTTCAAGGGGCGGACGGGAAAGAGTTAAAGTTCTTCACTAATTCCTTTGTAATTTTAGAGCCTGTATGATTTTAAGTGTATATTTCGCTTTTGATATTAAAGACACAGATACCCTGGTTCCAGAGGTTTCTCTGTGTTATTCTCTGTGTAAAATATCTCTGTTCTTCATTGAACTCGATATCGCTACTTTGCATGAAGAACAGAGATATTTTACACCAGAGAATAACACAGAGAAGCCTCTGGAACCAGGGTAAGACATGGATAGCTTGTTTGATAGATAATAGACCTAATCGGCTAACGGCGTTGCTAAGTACGTTGCTACCCAATTCAAATCCTGTGGGAAAAAGAACTTTTGTTTCTAAGAATTCAACTGTGAAATGAAAATACAACGAACAATGAAATTTACTCTCGGATGGCTTGAATTGGGTTGAAGCCGATTAGGTCTATTCTCGATAGACAGATTCAGAATAAATTCTCCAAATGCCCTTTTAAAAATGCTCGACATCTTTTAGTGTGGCTCTACCCAAATGTGTGTATTTGTAAGAGATTTGAGCGTATTTGTGGAAGCTATATCTGTGATTCCATTTTAATTTGGAATGTGAAGGTCGTCGAATTAGCAAAGCACATGCCGGCCTTAGAATCATTGCTTACAAACATGAATAACAACAAAAGAAAAGGTCCCGGATATATGTACCACTTTGAAGCATAATGAAGAACACGAAGAAAAGTCRTCGGTAATTTTAGACATGGTCTTCCACAGGAATCCCATGTCAAAATGAGCAAAATTTAACATTCTATTATAGATTATTATACACTACCACCAGATAGACTAAAACTGTTGATAATGCGATCTAGACTAGAACTGTTGATTATGCAATCAGAAATTATACAAGAAGTTTGATATTGAAATGGCAGACTAAAAGCTTGCATGCCATTCTTTCAGTCATTTGAATAGGCAATGTGCAGTGATGCAATTTTGTTGATGGTGGTTGTAGTACTCGCAAAGAGCATATGACATGAAACATTTTTTGTCAGTCATAATTATAGTGTTATCCAAAAATTCTTAATTAAAAAAATATATATTATAACTACAAACTAACAATCCCAATTTTAATCATGATCTGATCGTTTTCACACTAATGAGTCCGAAAAACTGGTGTCGGTTTGGTATGATTAACAATTTGTGCATCTGAGCCAATATGCAACATTTTCCAGCACAGTCCTAGTGTTGAGTTACAGATTTAAGGCTACCCTTTATACACCCATCAAAAACAAATTTTCCTTGAACAGTTAAAAGTTCTAAACAACAACGATATTCTCCTGTTCATGTTCTGTTGAGACAAGAGTTTATGCATGTATGCTTTTCGCTAAAGGCAAACAGCCTCTAATAAAAGATTTTTCTACACTTCTATCTTCGTTTTCACCATACGTCACAGCGGCCATCTTGGATGAACTTCAACAAAAGATTTCTCATTAGTATCTATTAATTGCTCCAACATGGCCGCCGGTCTTTTATCTTTTGAATCTCATGGGAATGATTGAAAACGATCAATTAGAGGCACAGTTTGTGTATCAGGATCTGTCATGTTGTCTTTATGTTCTTCATATTCTGATATCCCGCGTACAGATTGAATGCGATTCTATATTCGATCACTTCAGCATTATTTTAGCCATTTGTTTTCATCCTGAATTCCCATAATTTCATTTGATTCTGATTATTCTATATCCATATTGGTATTGCATGATAGGGCGCTAGTTTCTGACTCACAATCCGATATATTCGAGAGAGGTTTACTGGCACAAAGAGAAGATTGCAGACGGGATTCTGGAATTATGCGCTGATGCAAACCCGCATAATCGGCCATTCTTCGTATAATCCCGCATAATTTTTCAAAAAATCAATATGTTACCTATCTTGCGTCTGGCTCGAGTATTGTTTTTTCCATTTTTCTATTGTCATACAAAGTAGTAAACTATCATTTTTTAACAAAACAACGCCATTACATGCGCGTAAAGCCATTTTGTTTTTATGAAATTCATTTAGTGATGGGTTTCCTGTGGCTGGGCCCAGGTTTCAGCAATTAGCGGTTTCCAAGATGGCGGAGGTTGGCGACCTTGTTGCTTTCTTTTTTAGCTAATAGACCTCTGCAGCTTTTATGTCATGTACGGTATACGCAGTGCATTGTAGGACATGTTTGGGACAAAACATGGCAGATTTCTTTTGTTTTCTCTTGAAACTGATCCCACAATGCATTGAAAATCAAGTAGTGATGTAAAAGGTTCAGAAGTCTATTGCTTTTATTGGACAGATTCATTTATCAACTAGACGCATAGCTGCGTGAACTCGGGGTTCTGCTTGAATATATCATAAAACGATGAAGTAGAAGTGACAACAATGAGTGTTGTAGTCGAAGAATTGAGAAGAATTGGACTATATTGAACCTTAATAAAGTTAATAGTCATACTATCAAAAGGCGTAAAGCAAAAAATACTTCCTGGAATAAAAAATAATAAAAAAACAGTGTACTCAGCATAAATATCATGAAAAAATTGATCATCAGCAAGCCGGTCTTTGATAGTCACATGACAGGSTGTAAACACAGAGTCTTTTATCTTCTCCGCTCTTCCATTCATCGGCTTTTTCCTCAGAAGAATCTGTTCGCATTCCTTAGACGAGACCTTAGTAGTTTCAGAGCCTGCATAAGTTCGTATACAGTTCGCTTGTGCTAAGATAGGTAGCTTGTTTGATAGACAATTCTCGATAGACTCGATCTCGATAGACAGTAAGATAAATTCTCGATAAATTTACGTTATCTTCTGAAATTCATTTTTCGGAAAAACGCTGGTCATATTTTAGTGTGGCTATGCCACGAAAGTGTGGATATTTTTAAGTGATTTGAGCGTATTTGTAGACGTTGAATTTCTGTCTTCTTCCACCTCGCATATTACAGTCTCGCCGACTATTCTCATCGGTTTGCACATGAAGTCATCAGTCGAAAAAAATTCTAAAATCACAGACACACAACATTAAAGTACTAAAATACCTTGAAGAACATAATAGAAGTTCTCTCTGAAAGTTTCAACTATTTTTGCTGCTTATTCGTTGAGTTATTATTATTCGTTAAAACGTTCAAAAATATGTCACGCAATACTGTCAAGCTACTTGAAACACGCCAAATTAACCTCGGAAAGCCTATAAATCTTAAAACAACTATAGTCTCAGCATTAAATTAAATTTTTAGAATGATATTGTTAGAAAACTGAAGCAAAATCATTACTTTTGAGCTTATTTCAACACTCGGAGTTACTGTCCGCGTGGTTGTGTACTGGATAGTACCCCCCCATACATTCCCTTGTAAAGTCAGACCATATTCAAACGCTTACATTTTTGCTAAAAAATCGCAGTTTGACTTCAAACTTTGCATAATTGTTGGGAATTATATGCTGTTTTTGGCCATGAACATGAAAAATTCATTTAGATCTTAAAACACAGCCTTTTGTAGTTATTTCTTGACCTGTCTAAAACGCATTGAGCCGTGATAATCCCATACATTCTTACCAATTTTCGTTTGCTCGWATTTCTGTTAAAAAGCATTATTTTGGCTCAAAATTTCGCAATAATACTTTCATTTAGATGTTCTATCGAGGACAATAATAATATTTCGCTAATTTGGTCTCTAAATAGCATTTTTAGAATAACACGTGATTATGAGCTTGGGCTACCTGTGGACAATTTGTGACTGATAAGCGACGAAAAAAAAAAAAAAAAAAAAAAAAAAAAAAAATAAGAAGCCCGAAATTTAAACTCTGGGTTCCACAGGAACCCCGAGTAATAACAAGTAATAATTTGTAAACAGAAACAAAATAACTGAGTTTTTAAACGAAATTAGTTATATTTTAGGTTTTAAGGATGACGTTTTCCGTACATAATTCCGCATAATCATCCATGAAAATCCCGCATAATTTTGATTTTTTTTGTGCATAATTCCAGAATCCCTGTGCAGAGGGCAGCAAATCTAAGCCAACAAAATGATGTTACATTAGGTCCCAGTTTTTTTACTTAGGGTTCAAAAAAATGAGCCTAAAAAAAGTCAATTAAGGTATCAGCGTGCCCATGCGGCCTCTACTCGTGTCATCGACTATAGCGTTCTTGTTTTGTTGCAAATGCTCACAAAATATATATTTTCTGAAAGCTTAGTAAATGTAGTTTATGCCTTTAAGTGTTTGAAATGCATTTAACATTACAATTTAGAGTTATTAGCTCCTTTAACCGAAACCACATTCCTGTATAAAACGAACTCCAAGTCTGAAAGAATTATCGGTAAAAATTCAATTTTAGCGCTGTTCTTTTGTTCACATGTCTCAAAAATTGTGTCGATTTTTTGTATGTGCTCTCATTTTCATTCAATGTTATAATAAAGTTTAGGAACGCAAAATTATGTTAAGTTCTTAAAAGAACCTTGCATAGCTTTTGAAAAAAGACGATTTTTCAAAATCCCAGACACAATTTTGTTGCTTAACTATCTGTAAACAATGTTACGAATTTTGATTATAATTGGTTCACGGGTATCTGACTTGGATTTTAAAACGTATGGCCTACTTGCTGTAAATTTTGTTTTGAGAAATGAGGAGTGTACTACCCTGGGAACCAGAGGCTGGATTTACTCATTCTTGTAGTTTATATACGGCGCGAAGCGCCAGGCCGAAGGCCGAAGGCCGAACCGTAAACCAGCCTCTGGTGGCACGGATAGCCAATCTCACTTCCATGTCAGTGTTTACATTCAAGATCTGAATGTTGCAGCTGATTGGTCCGTTGATATCGGAGTGATGTTATTGGCTGAAAAGTAAAACCGGTTTTTCACCGGATACTAGACGAGTGAGCATTCAACGCAACAAAGTTCTTTCAAATCAGATAATTCTTTGTCCTGAGAGTTTTAGACTTTCGAAGTTTTTTTAAACTTCCGAGTGAAGGTGAGACATATGTAGCTGTTCGCTATAAATTGAAAAGCAAATATTTTCGCAAAAACGATATTTTTAACTTGTCTTTTCTCCAGATAATTTGAAATCTCCTGTCTTATTCGAGAGACTGCAGCTATACACTTTGCAGATTCGCAAAGTCTTGCTTTAACGGCATCTTCTGGGGATTTTGCTTAGTTTACATTCTGTGAGAATTCTGATACACGACAGAGATCAGTGACCCATGACATATACATTTGATTTTGACAACTCATCACTCGTCGAGTATCTGATAGAAAACTGGTTTTGTTTTTCAGCCAATAATATCGCTCCGATATCAACGGACCAATCAGCTGCAACATTCAGATCTTGAATGTAAACACTGACATGGAAGTGAGATTCACTATCCGTGCCGCCAGAGGCTGGTTTACGGTTCGGCCTTCGGCCTCAAGGATATAAACTACAAGAACGAGTAAATCCAGCCTCTGGTTCCCAGGGTAGGAGTGTACCTAAATGTCGTGGGTTGTGGCTCAGAAATGAGTCAAAAACAGTTTTTAGCCCCTAATGGGATTATACCGGGTAATACCAGATTATAACACAATACCAATATCTACGTCATATTAGCATAAACCATATGATGGCAGCTATGAAAATGCTGGGTGTAGCTCACTTAGTTTTACTTCACTTTCAGAAACATCAACTGGTAACTCATAAGACATAATGAGCGTAGATTACTATAAATACAGTTTTTGTGGTACAATTCGATATAAACCGAAGATAATGTTCAGCAGTGTCCAGGAATGTCAAAGGTCAAGAAGAGTAGCCATAGCAAAGCAAAGCAAGGACTGCTTACTTGTAAATATTTCTCGTAAATTTTCACTGTTTGAAATCAAAATGTGAAAAATCATAACCTAAACTAATACCAGGAGAAAGAAAACGAGTGATTTGGAGAAGAGAGGAAGAAAGAAGCACAACATGACAAACGAGAGTCAACATGAGGGTGCTGGTGCTGATACAACTCTTGATCCAAGGACGGACTTACTAAGCCGTGTGAAAACTGCTGGGTGGGCATTATTTCTCTAATTTACTTATTTGTTTTTCACATTGGCAATCCATAGACATGCTCTTGTATTTTTATGACAGCATGCTTTACTCTGAAGTTCCGAATAATCGTATATATACGCTTATTTATTTTGGCAAAATATTCCACTCTATACGGCCTTATTTGGGACTGTACGATTATTAATTTTCACAATTTTTTTCTCTGTGCCTACCTTAATTAGTTATTAACAATATCGTGAGAAAAAAAATTGAAAAAAGTTGCCAAAAAGACAGACTTTTTGTCTCTAAAACGAAAACAAAACCGCGAACGAACAGCAAACTAAGAGCACAAATCATCTGGTCAGCGGATTTGATCACAGGGGAAACTGGGGAGAAGTCAGCGGTTTTGCCAAAAAAATGCGGGAAAACTGCCAGTACTGCCGTTTTTTCCACCCTATACTATTATTCCGATCTATACTATTATTGGTAAATTTGTATTTTTCCACTCTATACTATTATTATGCTCTATATGATTATTCGGAACTTCAGAGTAATCGACTCATTCTACACGCTCGGTATTATAGAACTCGTCTTCAATTTCACTGTTTGATGTGAGCTGTCATCAACTCCATTAATCCAACTAAATCAATTAAAAATAAAAAACCTTTTAAGCGCAATAACTTTTGCTGTAAACTTTATATCTTTTCAAAACTTTACTGAAGATCTACAAATGATCTTTCGAATGATATAAAAATCAGAAAAACATTAAAATGTGACTGTTTTGGGTACGCTGATACCTTAAAATATCCATAACTCAGCGAGTTTTTTTCCAAAATTCTTTCAAATTTTAAACTTGGAGTTTTTAAAATATAAGATAAGCGTAATATTACTCTTTTGACAGTAGACACAACTGTTTTGATGTCATATGCTCTTTAAAAGCCGTTTTTATATTTTCTTTTTTTATAAACCGCACAAATACTTCTATTTTCGCTTAGAAAAAGCAAAAACTGGTTATAGGGGGGACTATTTTAGAGGACATAAAAACCTAAGTACGAGGACGACAGCTACCATCATCCTTTGCTGCACAAAATGGCGTCGCAGCACATTTCCTATTGATACACAACGACAACCACATAGGGAAAAACGACTGTTAGAGCCATCTCATTTACACACGAAATAGTAGACTATTAGTTAGTAGCAGATTTGCTTCTTTTTTCTTGCTTCAACGGGAGTATTAACTTAAAACTTCTTTATCGTGGACTGGGTGTAACGACTCGAGCTTAACTTGAGTTATAAACTACAATAAATAATAAATTTCAATTCAAAGAAGCTAAAACCTACCTAACGATAAGAAGGAACGGTTCAACATCAGTGATATAAATAGAAATAAACTCGAAGGATAAACCACACTCATAATGCGATATAGTTTTAACTCGAACAGTGTACAATCACACTAGGGCTAGAAGTAAGTAACTACAGGTTCCTGAGCGCTTTGTAATTATTACCGCTGATCGCATCGCTGCCGCGCTACCTCGACGCACAGCCCATATGTATAATGTCCCTTCAACGTCCATGTCGCGTAAAGGCCTGGAGTATACTTCAGAAACTGGAGAACTTTTCTTAAAATGGAGGGTGTCATTGCATTATTAGGGATGATCTTCATTTTTCCAGGTATGATACAGTGAGCTTAACCAATCCGTACTATACAATGTAACATAAGATTAAGGGTGCTTTCCATTTAGGCAGAACCGGCCGGCCAGTCCACTCTATTTAGAGGAATATAATGCTTTGTCAACATTTTTCAGTCATTTCGAGGTTTTCTGTAGAATAATGGATAGAATTTGAAAATTTGAATTTCCTAACTAAATGGGAATGATATATAAGTAATGACATTTTCTCTGGGTCTGGCCAGCCAGTTCTGACAAATGGAAAGCGCACTAAATGCCAACTTATAAAAATATCNCTTAAATAGAGGCTATAGAACTTTTGAAACTGAAATTTGATCCAACGGTATTTAAAAACTTACAGACCTTACATGTGCTGATCTGCAACCAAATCAAAACGGCACTACATACTGAAAATACACCGGTCAAAGAAATCGAAATAACTCTGCGAAATCACAATGAAATTAACATCAAACAGTGGCAATGAATTCGTCATGAAAAACGAAAAGATTTGTTCGTTTCAGAATTTTAGAATCGGTTCAATAAAACAAAATATTTTACAAAGAATCTCACTGTCTCAAACGGTGATTACATCTTTGCCTAAAAACTTGAACCGCGCGTACAAAATGCCGAGAAAACAAACTTCGAAAAAACTTATTCAATGGCGTCCATCGGCGACGAAAATTCACATACACGAAGATCGATAACAGATCGGACAGCATCCGGAGATTTATTTCAGTAGACACAGTATAACCTTTATTTTTCGTACATATGACGTGAACACCTCGTGCGATCCTCGTGGTGTTTTCGCAAATCGAATCGTTTTATTGCTTAGCAACAAAATAACAACACAGGCGTCCCAAATCGGCACGTTTTAAAACGCCGAATCCGTGCGCCTGTGAGCCCAGCGTGTTTCACAGAAGTAACAGTGATTATCGATAATTCTTGTTGATAAATTAATTAAAATACCCATGGAAAGTCTTCTTTGAGTACTGTACATGATAAGAACACAATATTATTAAGCTTAATTTTTTAGGCAGGCCATGCTTGCATGCTTCATTTATGGAATTATTTTCTGTACTTTATTGTATTTTTTTTTGATAAATAAATGCGAAAAAAGCGAAAACATAACATGAAAACTGCAAGCGTGCTCTTTTTACCTGATTCTTTGACTGATTTACTTTGGATTTGTGGATTAGATTACTTTTTACTGATTACTTTGTAATCAGTGTAATCAAGAAGCTTACTTTCAAGAAAAAAGCTGAATGAAATTATACACCACTTTCATAAGTGCCTATAATAATGATAATAATAATAATATTTATTTATATAGCGCAGTATTCAACATTACCGTTTTCACACGCGCTTTACAGTTCCAAAAGAAAAATTATATATATGATAATCTAAGCTACTAAAAACAATTTATAGTTTACATCATGATTTAAAAAAAATATATATAAGAAATTAATAATAATAAAATATAAAATACATTATAAAATTATAAAATTCAGGCAATTCTACATGTGAACATAAAAGATGCGAATCAATAACATTGTATGAATAGGTGAGTTTTCAATTTCTTCTTAAAAGTGTCCAGATTCTWCTCCTCGCGTAATGCGGCTGGAAGATCATTCCAAAGTTTGGGGGCAGCCGCCCCCATTGATTTTATACTACTTGCAATATTATGGAAACATTCAGCACTGTTATATGGAAGAACTATCAGAAATAGGTTGTATAAAGTTTTGAAGCCATGGACTAAATGCTAATGAAGTTATGGAGGAATACAGATACAAGGATTTGTATGGAATTCTTGGCTGAGGCCTTGGTAGCCTCGTTTTTGTGTTTTTTTGTGCATCTTCTAACCCTTATAACTTCAAGAGGATATTTAATATTTTTCTTTGGAACTTTCCAAACTTATTTTTAGTTATGATATCTATCATCTGAGGGTGTTCTTTTGTCAACATTACAGAATTTAACAATAATATGCTAATTAGTGTCGGCCATTATGCAAGTTGTCAATAGGATTTTGGCAATGCCAGATTTCAAGCTGAGTGGAGACTGGGCAAAATCCCCTAATTGGATCAGGGTCCTTGCAGGTCCTTAAATCCTTGAAAAGTGCTTGAATTGAAAACTCGTTTTCAAGGGCACTTGAAAAACTCTTTGAAAATTTGAAAATTTCGAAAAAGTCCTTGAAAAGTCCTTGAAAAATATAGATCTGTGTCACGAAGCGATAGTGATCTCGGAATTATTCCGTTTGGCTGAAGGTGTGAGGTAAAAATTTACAATTAGCATGATTATGATGTTCCTTGAAAATACAATTTTGGTCCTTGAAAAGTCCTTAAATTTCGTTTTTGATACTCTGCACGGACCCTGTGGATAATCACAAGATAAGACTTACATAGAAAGAAAGCCCTCGTTGAGAAATGCAAAATTCCAAAATCTGGTTATCAATCAGTTCAATAGTGGACGAGTTACGGCCTTTCAAATATTCTAAAATTTCGAAAGAAATGTATGGGAAGCCGTGAAATGTGTCCGCATTTTGACCATTTTCCAGACACATTCGCCAGATCACATACATTTCTTTGGAAATTTAAGAATGTTTGAAAGGCTGTAACTTGTTCATATTGAACTGATTTACATCAAATTTTGGAACTTTGCATTTCTCAACAAGGGCTTTCTTTCTATGTAAGTCTTATGTCATGACTTTCCAATTAGGGGATTTTGCCCAGTCCTCACTCGGCTTGAAATCCAGCAATGGAGTTCATACCTCATTATATTTTGCAATAATTTTGATGCCAATTTTTACAATATGGAAGAACTTGATAAACTTCCAGTCGACAAGGGAGTTATGGAAAGCAGAAATCACACCGTTGACAGATTTTATTCTGAGAAAGGTTACTGTTGCAAGAAAGCATTGCACTCAAGAGGAGCAATAAAGTACAAGAACGAGTAAATCCAGCCTCTGGTTCCCAGGGTAACCCAGAAGTTGATCATTAAATACTTCTGGTTTCGACGTCTCGAATTCTTAACTTCCGGTGGTCCAAACACGATAGATAGATACTTTAGATAGATTGTCAAAAAGGTAAAACTCAAGTCTACCTAGCCTAAAAAGCAAAGAAAGAAATCATAAAAAGTATCCCTTCTCCGGGAATTGAACCTGGGACCATAGGGTAGAAAGTCCACATTGTTAGCCAATGAGCTACAAGCAAATGATTCAAAACATTCCATATAGTACGTCTACACAATCAATCTTCGAGTTGTGTTGCCATTGGCAGCTTGATTAATTATTGGCTATATAACTAGCCTGACTTGTTCATTTTTATATCTCAATAAAACGAAATACATAATAGTTATAGGTATAAACTCTTATCAATATATGTATGTTATATGTACTTTATTCCATCTTTGTGATTTGTCAACAGTAGCTCAAGGAACCATCCCTCCACATAGCCCTCTTTTGATACAAGCTGGTAAAGATGCAGTGTTTCGATGGACTACTGAAAATGGTAATGAAGTTGTGGCAGTCTCATGGGGATTAAAGAAAGACAACAGGATATATCCACAATTCATTTATGTGTCCAAGATAATACCAGCAAAAAACTCTAAGAAATATAGTTTTGCTGGAAATTTAACAATAGGACGAGCATGGTTTATACTAAGTAATGTGCTAATCAATGAGACTGGTGATTATGCTGCTGACATCCGTGAAAAAGGACAACAAGCTGGAATTTTACATGCAGCTCATTTACAAGTGTCAGGTATGTACAAATGTGATTAAAATTGTATTTAATGAAAGCTTGTATTTTGTTGCGATATTTAGTCAGAAACCAGCGAAGTCTTGGGAGTCCACATTTCTATATTTTTGTAGCTACGGTAAATATTTTGTTCTGGTTTCTACCGATGTTCAGGGTGAACTACATGTAGCCTTGGCAGTAGCGACTCGAATGGTGTTGGCCCCGTAATCAGAGATTACCCTATGAGATGGCACAAAACTTGGAGACAGAGCACGAAATAAACTTCAGGTTAAGGTGTTTCGATCATAATAAATAGCGTTTCGCGCGTATTTTTAAACTCCAACTACGTCGCAAATTTCGATTTAATTGCATTCAAACTTTCACAGAAGTCAAACTGATTATCGATAATTCTTTTTGATAAATTAATTTGCCAAAAAGCKAAGCCATTTGGATAAACGATGCAAAATAAAAACACCTTCATTTTTCTTCAAACTTTAAGTTAATTTTCTCGAAACTCATCGCAGAGATTGTAATAAAATTTTCAGAATCATATATTTCTTAATAACATAATCGATATACTGACGAAGTTTCAATAAAATCTTAACCTAAAATTTCGATTTGTTCGAATGTACATCATTTTGCTCAAACAACTCGAAATTTTGGCTGTAGCTAGAAAGTTAAGGAAAGTGTATAACTGGTACAATTATCCTTTCGATTCCTGGGCTTGGGCATTTGTTTCCAATTATTGCTGAAAAAGCAATCCCTACCGTTGTGGCTAAAATAGTGAATTAGAGATACTTGCAACAGGGCCTGGTACAGTACAGAAATGGTACAGTCTCATTTAAATCATGTGAATTCTCGTAAGAACTAGTAAGAACTTTGAGTTCGTTGACCGGCATGTTCCTACCACAAGTGGCGTGTGCGTTGGTAATTGGTGAGATCAGCGTTCTAGGGTTGATTTCCTTCATTTTTTTGATTAGCTTGCTTTTCTTGGTCACAAACCAGGTCACAGTAGCCATAAATTGAAGCCGAGATATCGCGATCAGGCCACGAGGCCGACTGAAGTACAAAACAATACATGTCAATAATGAAAGTAAGTGGATTGGAATGAAAGTAAGCGGATTGGTTTGAAACCGAGACTGCAGACAAAGGAGAAAAGTCCACTGGCATTTTTAGACGTGATCTTCCACATCAAAATTGATATTGTCCCCAAGTTTGGTTTAGTTCATATCTAAGAACTTGAAGCTGTTCAAAAATGTTAAAATTTACAAAGGAATGAACAGATCGTGGGGAAAGCATTAAAGATTTAAAATTGAATAAGAGAGTATGGCACCAGAAGTGCCGAGATGTATTGTCAACAAGACTTGGAAATAATTATGCTGATCAACAAATTGCTTCAATCAACGATCTCTCAGGGCAAACCCTTATCTGTTCGCATGCTGAAATGGAGACGGTTGAACTTCGATGCTACTTAAGAAATTTATTGGACTTGTCTTAAATATGGGACTTGTCGTTAAAAAGGAATTAGTTATGTACTGGGACACAGAACATTCTAACTTTTCTACACCCTATTTTTCATCTGTCATGGCAAGAAACACTTTTCAACTAATTTCCAGATTTCTTCACTGTAGCGATAACACTTCTGACCAGGCACAATGTGATTCTCCTAATTATGATCCTCTTCACAAGTTCCGTCTACTACTCGGTTCTTTAAATTCTGGTTGTAAGAGGCACTATGTACCTAAGCAGTTTGTTAATCTATTGACGAGAGCTTGATAGGTATGAAAAATAGAAGCCAGGTGATACAGTGCATCCCCAATAAACACCATCACAAGTGGGGTGTCAACTGAGTCATCAACTAGGTTCACTCTTCACACTACAGTGTATTGTGGGAAAAGGGGCGAAGATCCTCCTTCTCAACATGGGCATTCATATGATGTGATTGACAAACTCATTGATGTGTCAGGTCTAACTCATAAAGGCTATCATCTCTTTGTTGATAATTTTATACAAGCATTACACTAGCTGAACACTTTTATGAGAAAGGGGTGATGTTGACTGGCACAATGAGATCTAACAGAAAGGGAATACCCAAAATGATTAAAGGTGCAAAACCCAAGATCCAAGAATGCATTTATGCAAACTTGCAAAAAACAGGATACCTTTGTTCTGAGTTGGAGAGAAAAGGGCTCTCAAAAGAAGCCCTGTCTTATGCTATCGACCGGTCTCCCATCTGGTATGGTTGAGCACCAGGTAAGACGTATGTAGTACAAAGACCAAACCTGTCATTGTATCTGAGTACAATATGGGAGGAGTTGACACCCTGGATCAGAAAGTGGACGTTTATGCTGGGGAAAGGGCTTTCCATAAGTACTGGAAAATGTGTTTCTTTGCTCTAATTGATCGAATGTTGGTATGTGCTTACATCCTCTACCAGGCCAACACTTCTGACAGACCCCCCTGACCAGGTATAAGTTCATGTGTGCTGTAGTGGAAGAGCTGTGTGAAAACTCAATCCACCTGGAACCACAACAACCACCCCACACAAGATCAGACAGTTTGAAGGCAGAAAGAAGAAACTGTTGTTTATTTAAGTTGTGAGAGGAGGAAGAAGGAGAAGTCGCACTGAGTGTCAGGGCTGTCATGTTGGAGTCCATATAGCCTGCTTTGATCAGCTTGACCATAAAACAAAGAAAACGAAGACATAAAAAGTTGAAATTGCTAATATTATGCCTTCCTATTCTTTGTTTTTATGTCTTAATCGATGAATTTGATATTTATCAGTTTTGATATGTTGGCATTTGTTATATTTTTGATACTTTGTGTGGTTATTTCCATAGCAACAAGCTTGTGCTGACATGCATATAAGAATTAATCAACCCTCTGAATTTTAGGAATAGAGACAAACAACATTTTGTTAAAGAGCAACTATTGTAAAGTGCATTTATAAATATTTTTATGAGAAGTATTTGTATTTTTTTAAATTTTATCCATTTACTTAAAATATCGTTAAATTTTTTAATTTCAACTTATTTATTACATATTTTTCCTATTATATTTGTTTATATTGAGATAAAGATTAAATTTTTTCATCTTACCTGTAAAAAAAGTAAAATTCTGCAATTCTTTCAGCTGTTTATTGGTATTTTTTCCTGATTTTTTTTGAAACATTTGTCGTGGTAATATTTTGAAACATTTGTCGTGGTTACATGTGTATTGCACCAACATAAACAGTGCAAATTGAAGCTTTTTTCAATGATAATGTCTTTCTTCCTTTTATTTTGCCTTGGCAAGTCAGGGGACCCCCTAAAAATATTGGCAGCGTATACTGAGTGCGTATACAGGGGGTGGATTTCCACCCCACAATTTGACCCTTAAAATTTTTAGAATATAATGTTTTTGAATGATCATCTTCATGTTTATCCAAAATTACCCAATTTAAGAAGAAAGCACAACTTGTGCTTTACTAGAAAATGATTACCAAAAACAAACTTTTCTTATTCCTCAAGCTGCTTAGTACATACATGTATATTAGTCTAACAAAGATATTTGCACTCCATTTAAAGTTAATTGAATGAGCAAAGATATTAAAGCACTCATACAATTTTGGTATAAATCAGTACCTGGCAAAGAACAATTCTAACCCGAAAACAATGGCCTGGTTGGATTGGCACAGCTTTCTCCCTGACATGTACTTCAAGCAGGGGTACATTCTAGGCTGTAGCATTTGCAGGTACATCGACACGTACTGCAATTAGATACGTACTGCAATCGGAGATACGTACTGCAGTTACATCGAATTATCTTCAGAAGAACTTTCGGCGCAGCTTGTAGGTCTGTTTATATTGGTTACAACTTTCCATCATTTAATTGCCAACCCCACTCTAAAGATGTTAGTGAGGTATTTCCCATCCATTGTTGTACTTGGAAATATATCCGCATGTTATGAAAGGCTGCTGCGGCTGATGTTGGTGGATGGTTTTCAGGTTTTAGACTTGATGTTCCAGTGGATATTTTTTGACAATTCTTGTGTATCACAATTCATTGAGACTTTCCTCGTTCCTGCTGTTAAATTCGTTAAGAGATGCTTTTTCACCAGCGGCTTTTACACTTTCTTGAGTTTGATTTTTTCACAAAACACTTTGACTTGTTCCCTGATAGGAGTATCAAGAGGTTAGTATCATCGCCTACAAGAATTGTTGGCATGGTTATTCCAATGTTTAATCCTATTGCAGGTTGCATCTTTAATTCAGTGCAGCAATTTCTAAGTGAAACCTTTCTATAGTAGCCAAACTTCTTGTACTCGTCGCTGACGTTTATTTACATTGATACTACGTTAATTACAAACGAACGGTTCCTAAAATGTTACATTACAAAAGTCAATAAACGAATAATACAAAAAAGGCCAAAATACGAAAAAACTGAAAGAATACTTACAAGATAGTTTGTAGTGAGTTCCGTTAAAACGTTGAAGTGAACTGACTTAATTATACAATTTTACAATACTTAAACGATTAGAACAAAAGAACAGAATACATTAAACTTACGAAAAGAAAACAATTATTCGCACCAACACTTTCATATTTTCCATCTTTTTTGACCGTTTGTAGTGACCGGGCTTCCTGCGTCTTGATTGAATGGAGGTCGGAAACTTTCAAAAATTATTTTGTCGTAATGTAGCCCTTTCTGAAGCTCAAATATAGCTGGCAGTGTTTGTTGGGGATGGAAATTTGGTTATTTGATTGATAACGCGTAATATTTAAGGAGGAAAGATTCTTTTACGCTGCAAAATGAAGTTGTTTAAATTTGGAAAATATGCTACTTGCGTAAATAGCAATAACTTTTTTCGTAGTAAACTCATGGACATGTGCTTTGGACAACAGTTGTATGAAAGATTAAGCTTTCAAGCTATAGTAGTTTTTCCATTAAACATTCGAATATTGTGACAAACGAGAAGTTTAAACATTGCCTAATTGTTTTCAACAACATTTTGAAATGCTCAAATACGGGCGACGCGCTATTTA